TAGCATCCTTACCATGGCTCCCAGTAAATTACAGAATCCAACATAAAATGGCATTGATGGTTTTTAAAGCTTTGAATGGTCAGGTACCTGCATATGTTGTGGACATGTTTTGTATGTATGCGCCCTCAAGGTCTTTATATAGGTCATCATTACAGTACATAGCCACTAGTTCATTCATTCATTCAGACATGCACCACTGCATTGTCTACTGCATAATATTTATGCAATTTAATTCTTTTATTTGTACTGCACATTATTTTTATTGTTTTAGTACATTTTATTTTATGAGTTATCTTTACTTTCTATTTATGCATCTGTAAATAGTGTATGAAAATACTTTGCTCCCGTTCATTTTGCTCTTGTTTTGCTCTTTACTGTGCTTTGTACTGCTGCAAAAGAAGAATTCCCCTCTGGGGTTAATAAAGTGATCTATCTATCTTTAAGATCTGCATCTCTGCAACCACTTTTAACTGTTCCACGGTCTTGTCTTAAACAAAAAGGGGATCATGCTTTTGCTGTTGCCGCACCAAGACGTTGGAATGGCCTCCCAAGTAACATTAGACATGCTCCATCTGTGACTGTTTTTAAATCCAAGCTTAAAACACATTCTTATCAATTAGCATTCAGCAGCTGTTGAACTGTAGTGGTAGTGGTGTTCGGAAGGTAGAATTCTTTTTTTGTGTTTTATTATAAAGCACTTTGGTTTTAAATGTGCTTTTTGAATAAAATGTACTTACTTGCTCACTTACTAGATATGAGATATTTTCACTTGCTAAGATATATTTTTCTGCAGTGTAGATTGTATGTTACAAATTCAGGCTGGGTGAGTTTACTGTTTATCTAGGTGGACGAATCTAACAAAATGTAAAAGAAGACATTCACCTCATGTGAGGGCATTGATTTTAAAAGAAAATTCACATTTCATTCAAGTAAATAAAACAGCACCCCAAGTTCAATTTTGTCTCTCTTATGGGAGGTCTGGGACCCCCTGCAAACACCCTCTCAGTTCAAACCCTGCCCATACACTGCAAATTCAGGCAGCACAGACCAGTACTGTCTCCAGGTAATGCCCCATAGAAACCATAACAAGCTGGTCCTGTCGTAGTTGCTATCACTCTAGCCGTTTCCCATGATCACAAGCACAAGCATGAGTGAGATCCTTGTAGACTGGCAAATCTGGCTACTAGAGGCTAGCGCAAAAAAAAAAAAACATGCTGGGTACAGTGGTAAGAGAGGAAGGGGTAGCCTTAGTCTGTTTATTAGTTTCCCCATTTCTGTACCAGAAATAGCAGCAAGTGAATCTGAGGGAGCATCCTCTCAGTGTGTGGGTGTGTAGAGCCTTTAAGCTAATGCTCTGGTACCAGAGGTAGCTGAGTAACTGCTCCACCAGACATAGCAGAGAGCAGACCTGAGGGTGCATCCTCTGGATGATATCAGAAATAGTTACAAGGCAGAGGCTGGTAGTCCTAACAAGATTCTGCAAAGGAAGAATGTGGCATGGTGACAGTGGAGGGGCAAAGTAGGGTAGTAGTACCACTACTAGGGGCATAAAAATGCATCTGAAGGTGGTGTTTCAACTGCATCCATATTGGAAGATTAAAGTCAATTGTAACAATATTCAATAATGAATGTATTCATTTTTGGCTAAGGGCTGTGCAAAGTGTGCACTATTGCTGAGGGATCACTAGTTTAATTCCCGTGGCTGGGGGTCCAGAGGAATATAATTAGCCCTAGCTCTCTGTGTGTTTTCCCCCTCCCTCGATCACTCAGCATGGTGTTGCTGCGTGAGTGGCAGTTCAAAAGGGTGACTGACTTCACATGCCGCTCCACTTAGGAAGCACATGTTAGCCCTTGCCCGTCCAGGCTGTAAGTTATTGTGTGATGGGGAGACCTAGTGAGCAATCACATGTGTTTTTACAAATATTTCTGAATTGTATCAAAATAATTTAATCATGGTGAAATTTGAGCTTTTATGATGCAATTAACTGCTTTCTAATCTAATCAAGTTGTTGAGAGGTCAGGGAACACCCCTGTAATTAAGCAATATAAGGTCCACTCATGATGACAGCCACCTTATAAACTAGAGCAGCAAGGGGTTCACAAACCCCTACAGAAGGGGTCAACAATCTTATCCATAAAGGGCCAGTGCGGCTTCAGGTTATCTTTCCAACCAAGCAGCAGCACCTCATGTGACTAAGTCAGTTGTTTGAAGACTGAAACCAGTTGATCAAAGAAGTGGTATCAGGTGTGCTTCTGCTGGATTAGAACGTGAACCTGAAGCCAGACTGGCCCTTCGTGGGTAAAAATGGTGACACCTGTCCTAGGGGTTTATGGCGGCATTGCAGGAGGTTCAGGAGAATGTGATGGAAATGTCACTGTCAGATTTTAATAATAAAAATGTCATCACTGCCCCCCCCCCAAAAAAAAAGTATGTACAGTGGAGTCCAAAAGTCTGAGATCACACTGAAAATCAGGATTTTTTCCCTTTAAGTCTGGAAATAAAAAAACAGAAAGTTTTAGAATTTTGAAAAATTAAAATAAAGAAATATGATAAGTTAAATGAAGAAGAAATATTTAAGATTCTGCACTATTTCTGGGTCACTGTTCAAATTGAAGCAAATTTGTGACACTGACCATGTTGAGGCCTTCATACAAAAAGTTGAAGCCACTCTCAGGTGGATTTGATCTACACATCAGAGGCTTTTGCACAAACTTGTAGAGTCCATGCCAGCTTGAGTGCATGCTGTCATTAAAGGGCCAACAGACCAATAGAAATACTCCAAAAACACTTGGGATATAATCTCTTCACATTGACTTACAAAGTTTAAGAATGTTTTTGTCTTTTTAAAGTTACCATTTTGGAGATATAAATAAAATGTTTAACAGAGGTATCTAATCCAAATATTGTAGTCAAAAGGGGTATAGCTGACATAAAAGGTTGGAAACCAATGCACCAAATCAATGGTTGTTGATTTCTGCTGCATTCCTGGCTTCCTGAGTGGATCACTAATTCACTGATTACTACTGTGGTCCCTGTGAGCGCTGGTGGGCTATTAGTGCCCAGCTCTCAGCTTGAAGTGTTTGAAGTTTTTTTTTCTTGTCTTTTCTAAAATCCTACGTAAACAATCCCTACTGAAACATTAAACTACAGCACAAATGCCTGTGGCCTCATACTTATAGCAGTCTGGATGCTGGAGCCTAGAGCCAGTGTATGTGCCTGCTGAGTCCAGATTACTGCACTGAGGCTGAACTGTGTTGTGGAATGAAAGCAACATAAAGGCAGCTTTGTCAGATCATAAAAAAGCTTTTTATTTCACTGCATCTAACATGCGCCTTCCTGATAAAACTAAAACCCTTGAGTTGCATATGGGCTAAAGAGCCGCTCCCTGGGATTAAGAGGCAGAATCGATGTTTCTTTAGGATTTTTAGCTTTGGAGAAAATATTTTGGTGCAGGACAAGCCTTTGTTCTCTTCTCGCATGTTTGCAATGCAATGTGAAATGCTGCTCTGGAAAGGCTCAGCTTTCCAACTTGTACTTATGCTTTATCTGCACTTGCATCTTTGATTTTATTCTAGGCTCAGATGTTGGGGTGGGCAATATGATAATATGTTATTATCACGATAAATTCCATCACAGTAAGCTGTACTAAGGTTCTGATATTGGTTTGACATGAGCACATTCAGAACACTGAAAGAATATTGATGTTTCATTAAAAATACATTTAGATGGGCCTCCCTGTCATTACATTGTGGAACTTTCATGCAGCTAGTTGCGTGGTGAGTTGCATGCAATGTAATCTATGTGCAGCTTGAAGCAATTTGTGACAGTCAAAGTTGCACACAACACATCAGATTACTTCACTAGATTATCAGCTCATACTTTTTGGCACAGAACTGAAGTGAGAGTTATTCTTATCACAGTTGTTGTTATCCACTGTCAAGGCGTTGCAAGTTCACGTTTTACAGCAGAAACAGTGCTGCCAGTGCTGTTCTCAAGCAGAACCCAATAAATCCTTTCAGCGAATCAGCGTACAGTCTTAAGGACAGTTGACGCAACACTGCGGTGAACTTTTTATGCAGAATCTGAAATGGCTCCCTTCTCAAAGTGCTCCATCTTAAAATAATGACTGCTGCATTTAAATAGTGCACAGTGTGTCTAGCAAAGAACCACACTGGATTCAGCCAGGTGTGCACAATTTGATAGTGGACATAAAGTGCAATATTTGGGTGTAGAAGCCAACATTTGATAACTCCCATAGTGCACTATATAGGGAGCAGTGAGCCATTTGAGATTCAGCCTTCAGGATTTCAGAGGTATGATTTTATAGATGTTTAATATTAATGTATTGCATGAAATGTATTGTATTGCGCTCCATTTAATTCTGTTTCTTTTTCTCTAGGTATCAACATTGGCTTTTGTTTCTAGCAATATCTGAGCTAGGACTAGCCTTCGCTCTAACCTGTTTGTAACTAGCAAAGATACTTTCTCTGGGTAGACAACAAAGCACGTTTGTAAGTTGCTCTGAATAAGAGCATCTGCAAAATGCTGTAAATGTAAGTGTAAATGTAATATTACCAATTAATGGGCTGTTTTTGTTGCAATGTTCAGCACATTACGTACTTGTTTCATGTTAAAGGATGTTAAATACTGCATTTAAAAGAAATTTGTATCTGTTACATGGCTTTGTTTAACTCTGAAACAAGAAATGACCATTGGAGGATTCTGCTTTTGCCAAAAAAACAAAATTTAAATAAAAAAAAAAGGATCAAGTTTCATTTTGTAAGTTACTTGTATTTTGTTGTTCATATTCACTTCTGCATGGTGTTATTTCCATATTTTCAGCATTTTTGTAGCCTTCATGTAACATAAATTATTTTAACATATAACATTACATTTTTTGCTAGATTGCCCACCTCTATTTAGATGTAACTGATGGGAAGAGCTGATTCACCCTGCAGATCTTAGCTCGGCATTACTGATTGTGTCCTTCTACGTTCAGGTGGACCGGACGGAGGTGATTCGCAGCAGCATAAGCCCCGTCTTCTCCAAGGTCTTCACAGTGGACTATTACTTTGAGGAGGTGCAGCGTCTACGCTTTGAGCTGCATGACATCAGCAGCAACCACAACGGGCTCAAAGAGGCGGACTTCCTGGGATCCATGGAGTGCACACTTGGACAGGTGAGTGCACAACAAGGAATGACATGCAAGTGTAGATAAGTGCATAAGGGGGAAGATGAGTGCATGTTGTGGCAGGTGAATGGATAAGGGAAGTAGTGAGTGCAGTGAGCTGGAAAATGCATGAGAAAGTGGGACATTGCATGTGAGGATGCAAGAAAGTATAAAAAGACAAAAAGGTGGGTGTGTTTCATAGTGATCATGTTAATCAAATAGAGAAAGGAACATGAATACCACTATCATTTCAAAGATTCATGTCCTGCATATCTTTTATTGTATTTTATTTTTTTAGTGCTTTTAAGACTGATATATGTAAATGGCCGCTTTTCTGATTGGCTGCCTAGCATTGCACCCCATTCCAAAAACTTAGCTTAACTGCTGTAGGCCATGTAGGCAGATGTGTGTAAAGATGTTCGTTCTCATGACATCAACAAAGCAGTGAATTCAAAATGGGCTATTTGTAACAGTTACTAAAAAGTCAGGGAAATCCATGGAAAACACAGTGAATTTATACAGTTCTTTGCTGTTGAACCTGACGAGCATCCCAATCAAAGTACATTTAAATATATTCCTCAATATATATGGATTTCCCTGACTTAAGTAGAAGAGCAAATACAGTCATTACTTAAAACACTGAACAAGTGCATGTTTGATTATAAAGACAGTATAATTAGTCCTGTTTAATTAGATTTAGTGCAGCACACCAGAAGAAATGTTTATTACAAATCACTGCATTTCAGTTCATAGTTTTTATAGCATTTTTGAAATGTGACGCTACTTTATCTGTTCCAAGTTATCAGATGTCAGAACAAATAAATATTGTGACATATCATTTATTGCGTAAACCTATTGAAGTATCGTGATATTACATTTTTGGCACACTTCCATTTTATTTGCTTGACATCTATAGCATGTTTTTTGTTTAATCTGTGCATAAAAAAATAACAAATATGGGGGATATGTATTTCTCTTATTGTTTATTTAGGCAGAATTAATAATAATGTGAAGGCTGTATTTTAGCCTGTCTAGCTCTCTGTATGAGTTATTTATATGCTCCAAAATGATGCTATATTACAGCCACCATAGGTATAATATAAGATGTAAAAGGTAAAATAAGTTACTTTTATAGTACATAAAGAACATTCTTCAGTGTGAATCTTGTCAGATATCTGCCAAAACATGCAGGTGATGTTGCTAAGGAAATACAAAAAGATGGCTAAAAGCTAGGCATGTCAGAATTATTGCACAATCACCGTCATTAGATATTATGCCACAACAAGCATTGGGTTGAGGTGGAAAAATTCTTATATTTTTAGCATGTGTACTTTTTTTTAACATGTTATATTTTCACTCTCTAGAAAAAATGTAGCTTTGCTTGACTCTACAATTGATTCTGTACAACTGTAGATATTAATGTAAGTGTGTGTGCATACACAAAACAGTGTGATGTATCACTTCATGTATGTGCAACCAGCGTTAGCTACTAAGTAAACATAGCTAGGAAGAAAGGTAGCTAATCAGTCATTTCACCCACTTTGTGCTTGTACTTTAATAGTTGCATACAGTGAACAAGAATAGTCAAATTGTTAATTGTAGTTATTAAAATAGCAGTTTAATTTTTATTTTCATTTAATTTCATTTCATTAAAATAACTCAAATTTCATGATCATGACAGGCCTATTGAAAGCACATTCAACTTGAACCTGTTTAAAATCGAAATTGATTTGAATCTGATCGTAAAATGAGCACATGCAAAACTATTATCAATATCATCTGTAAAACCAATAATAATAGTAAGAAGTTTCTACATCATACAAAAGTTTTATGAATCAGACACAGAGTAGTTTGTACACCATTAAAGGCGTTTATCCCTGCTTTGTTTTTTACTTTCATGAATAAGGACCATTGATTCAAAATACATTCATAATAGAAGCCAATAGACAGGTGCTGAAACATCTTCACATTGGCATTCATTGTAAGTGTGCTGTGTGTCAATGTGTTTTCTGTTCTTTTCACAATACAGAGAAATTTATCATAATCAGCCATGTGCTACAGACAAAAAACTGGCATAGAGCATATTAAAAGATAGTGGAGACAATACAGTCACTGTTGAGTTTTGACAAGCATTAAAAACTCATTTGTCATGTCAGAAGCTAGATGCTATTTTATGAATGCATGAGTTGAATCTGTTTAATAAGTTTTATTCATTAGGTTTTGCCGCAACTTTAAGAAATTCCCTGCTGAACTCTCCTCAGAACTGTCTATATGTCTATTAATTTCTTATGAGTTTCTGATTTTCAGAATGGATTGCATTTTTTGTTGGTTTTGTTTTGTTTCGCTGTCTGTTTACTTTTATCTTCTTTAATTGCACAGATTGTGTCTCAGAGAAAACTGTCCAAAGCTTTATTGAAACAGGGCAACACGTCAGGCAAGTCTTCTATAACGGTAAGAGCTGAGCAAACAAAGTCACACACACACATACTGACTCTGTTTGCAACAGCCTGATAACTAATTCCCGGTCCAATCTGCTCCCTCTCTTTGATGCCATCACAGGTCACAGCGGAGGAACTGTCTGGGAATCATGACTATGTGGAGCTCGCGTTCAGTGCTAAGAAGCTAGATGACAAGGTACGACAGCTTAGGAATTTCATACTACATACAATATATATGAACAAAGGAAGGCACTTGTTCAGACATACATGTTTACAGTTGAATCAACTGAACTAGCGAAGGTGACCTTTTCTGGGGTGGGCAATATGGCAAAGATCTAACATCAGGAAGACATTTTCACAAAAAACAATATGCATCACAATATTTACTTTTTCTCTTTGGTTGGAATGGACAAAATGCGCTAGCTGTGAATTATATGAGTTATAAAATTATATTATTTACAAGCTTACTATTGGTTTGATTTTTCTTCTCTTTCTTATTTTATTTTATTTATAGTTTACATTTACAGACATTGTACAGAAAAATCCTTATACCTATATTTATCATTATACAGTTGTATACAAATATTTGAGCAGCCCTGGTCAAATGACATGTTTTGTTGATTTTCTTAGTGAAACTACGCTCTACAGAGAATTTAAGTATAGCATTTTTCTGCAAATTGTAGTGCACAGTTTATTCTTTATATTTGCTGAGTTTAACATATTTAAAAAAATAAACAAAAAACAATGTGTGCCATAACTAGAGGTGGACAATATAGCAAAAATACAATATTGTGATACTTCAGGAAATTTTCATGATATTCATGATATTTCACAATATTTATGTTCTCAGACATTTCATCAGATGGAACAGAGAAAAAACAGTAGGGCTATATTTAAAAAAAATACTATAAAAAGTTGTGAATTTTAAGTGACAGTAATTTTAATTCTATATTTGGCATACTATGTTGCACGAAATCCAGTTAAGCAGGACTAATTTTGTTCTCTTTATAATGACACATGAAGTTAGTCAATGTTCTACGAGTTCTGATCATTTCCACAGTATGTTCAGTAAGTATATTGTATTGTATCGTGACATAATTTATCATGATAACAATATATATTGTCATGTTGTCCAGCCCTTGCCATAACTTTTGAACAGGCCGCATCTTTTTTTTTTTTTGCCATATATTAAATTCAGCAGATAAACAGTAATTGTGCATGTGCAGAAATGTGCCCAAACCTTTTTTTTTATTATTGTTTTTTTGTCTGCCAAAAACAAAACTATAAATGAAAATGAACTACAAAAAATTAAGAAAAAATCAAACCATTTGTAAAATAAAATAAAATAAAATAAAAAGTTAAATGGGCTAACACTGAGGTCACCAATTAAACCGCTATTGAAATTAGACGTTTTTCCATTCTTCCGTTATATAAGTCTATAGCTGTAAAACTGCTTTTGAACTTTACCATGGTAAGAATCCGAAAGGTCTTTTTCTTCTTTGGTTTGGAGTACATCACGTCCATTATTTCCTAAAACAATCTGAAAGGTGGACTTGCTGATCACAATACATGTTTCCACTGTGGATCAATTCATTTCACATGAGCTTGATCCCAGAAAAGTCAGCAGCGTTTATGGATGTTGTTGACATATGGCTTCCACAGTGCACAGTACAGTCTTAACTCGCATTTGTGCAGTGAGGAACTGTGTTTACTGGCAACATTTTGTTGAAGTATTCCTGAGCCCATGTGGTGATTTCCATCACAGAAGCATGTTGTCTTTTTAAGTGCTGTCTGAGGGATCGAAGGTCATAGGCATTCAGCTGTGGCTTCCAGCTTTGCCTTTTATGCAAATTTCTCTGGATTCCCTGAATATTTTGATGATATTGTGCAGTGTAGAGTGAAATACCAAAAATCCTTAGAATCGCTTATTGAGGAATGTTGTTCTCAAAACTGTTTTTGTTTTTTCACTGATGCATTTTTTGAGAAAGTGGCGAGCCTCAACCCATCCTTGTTAATAAAGTGCTAGGCCTTTCTTCAACACTCCTATTATTCCCAAGCATGATTACATCACCTGTTTAAGATGTTTATTTTATTAACCATTTCACAATGTTGTCTTGAATCGCCCCTGTCCCAACTTTGCAGGCATCAATTTCAGAGTGAGCGTGTATTTACACAAAACCAATGAAGCTGATTAGGTAAAACATGTCTTTGTACTGTTTTTTTTGTTTTAATGCAGGACAAATTTTTTGGAATCGAGAATTTTAGTTCTTTAGGGAACAAAAGAGATTATATAGTATCTCTTGAAGAAGCCCATTTTTGAAGAGTGTGCAGTCAAACTCTTTATCCATGCAAGAAATGAGATCAACATTAAACCATGAATCAGTCAGATGTTTGCTAAAGAGCAAGCTTAACTGCTCACCCCTCTTTAGCAACAGTACAGCTGGAATAGCAGTTGTAGTTTTAGATTTTAAGTACTTTTCTCTTTCTCAGGATTTTTTTAGCAAGTCAGACCCATTTCTGGAAATCTTCAGAGTCAATGACGATGGCACTGGATCCCTGGTGCATAGAACCGAGGTCTGTTTTACAGATAGAACTCTCACAAACAGCTTTTCACTTAGCATTGTGGTAAAGTCTTGTGGTCAATCTTTTCCTTTCCTGTTACTTGCAGACTATCATGAACAATCTAAATCCTGTGTGGAAATCGTTCAAAGTTTCGCTAAACACGCTCTGTAGTGGTGATCAGGAGCGAGAACTAAAGGTAAGACCGACTTTAATATTATCTCAGTGCTCAGATCCCTGGAGTTGAATTTTATTTATGTTCTTACAGCAGGGCTACACAATATATTGTTTGTTAATTATAATCACAATGTTGGCCTGTGCAATACTGCTGTCACGTAAGACTGCAGTACGCAAAAAAGCCTTCTACCCATTAACAAGACTCTCTCGAGTCATCCTGAGGTTCCTTGATAAATGTTCTGTGAGTGTTTTTAGGTTTCAAGACTTTGGGCCTCATTCACCAGCTGCTATTAAGAAAACATTTCTCCTTAAAACCCACTTACACATTTTTTACAAAGATTCTGATATTCACCTATGTTGTTTGGGATTTATTCTTAAGTAAGAACAGAATCTACACACACTCAAGAGCACAAAAGTGTGAACAATTCTGCAGTTTAAGAACACATCATGAATCTGACGTAGACTTTTTCTACATCAGATTCTTCACGTTGACCTTTCTCAAGAACACATTTAAGAAAAAAACTAATAACCTAATAAATGTACTGTGCAATAAATGCAAATGAGCTCTGTTCTGATTGTCTACCCTGTATTGTGCCACATGCAAAAAGCAGTCTGGGCTGAAACTCTTCTTATAGCTTTAGGGTGATTTGGCAGTGCTAAACTGCTGTAGGCTGAATAGGCAAATGTAAATGTGACATCAGAAAAACAGACAGTTTTTGCATCTGAAGTTCCATATATGGACTTCATGGACTGGGAAATGAATGGTATGTTTCATAAAAGCAAATCAAATTCGTTTTTCCATGATAAGGGCCTTGTAAGGGTTTTTTCCTGTCCTTTAATGTGTTAAATAGTTTTTTGTGCATGTAAACGGTCTGCAAAGTTACAAAGCTCAAAGTACACGCCTTAAGTGTACACTGTCCCACAGAAACCACTTTCCAATGAAACGCCTCATTGGAAATCGCCCTTTTACTTTGTTACAAGATGACGCACTCTCGTAACACAGTCCTTATTGCTCACCTACCAGCAAGCTTGGCATGCCCTCACACAATGCACAGTAAATACTGAAGGCCGCGAAGAGTTTTGTAGGCATGTTGAGGAGACGCTGACCTGACTTTCAGGATCAGACTCTGGCCCAAACAGATACGGCAGAACCGATGATTTTGGAAAAATAACTACAGCTGTGTTTACAGCTGCTCAGGAGAGAAGAGTCTGTCTGCAGACTGCAAGACAGGGGCAGAACATGTAGGGGCAGAATCGCTTTGGCAGTTGAACAATCAGAACAGAGTGGGTGTACTGACCAGTCAGAACACACTGGGCTCTAACAGAGCGTTTCAGACAGAGTGAATAGGGATGTACAGTATAAGAATAATAATGTGTTTTTGAAACTTCGAAGCATGTAAATGTATTCTGGTAGACCAAAAAATAAAATTATGAACAGTGAAAATAAGTATAACAGGTTTGTAATAATTTAAATATTACAGACTAGACACAAAAATTTATTTTTAATGTTTAATTGTGTATTTTAAGGATTTTAAGTTATTATATACTGTACATTTTTTATTCTAATGATCTGTTTACAGTTAGTTTTTTAGGTTATCTACCTCAAGATTTGATCACCACTTTTTAATATGAGGTATTCTGGATGTTAAATTTATTATAACTTCATTCTCAATGCTTCACAGCTTTCTAAATCATTTTAAAATAATTGACAGCTAAGTGAAAAGAAGTTACCACATCCTTGACAGAGAACAAACTTAATTATGGCAGTTTTCTGCTAATTTTAGTGCACAATTTCTTTGTTAAAGAAAAAAAAAAACATTAAAGATTTAATGTGTCACATTCAGGCCACATTTTATGTTTTATTTTTCCCCAGTATGTTAAATTCAGCAAATAACCAGTATTAAAATAAAATTGTGTTCTTTGTAGAGGATGTTTGAACTTATTTGTACGTCCTAAGTGAAAATCCACAAAATGTCATTTGACTGAGGGTGTCCAAACTTTCGCATACAACTGTATGTTCTTCAGTCTGGATATTTTTTACAGCTTCTCAGTTTTTTGCTAATTATATGAAAGCTATGAAGTTTCACAGGATTAGAATAGTGAATCCATTTTATACTTTATTACCTCATTCTCAAGTGATGTTCTGTTTATTAGACGGTCTGTATTAAATATTAGCAGTGTTTTTAACAGAGTGCATTCAGCACTCCAGTCTTGTTCTGCATTGGAATGCAGTGCCATCATGATGTGAGACAACACAGTTACAGTGAAGGAGCTTCACTGTGTGGTTATGTATGGACTGCATTGCTTTCACTTTCCTGTGCAGTATCTGTAGACCAGGTGCCCTGCCCTTCCCTTTTTTCTCAAAAGGTTTTAATGTGTTCTCTTTGGTCTGTGAGATATGATATGAAGTTGAAATGCCAGTCAATAGTGTCCAACATAGGAAATTATAAACCTGCACCCAAATCCTGCCCTCCTGTTCTTTAAGAACGCAGCCATGATGTCTAGCAAGACTGAATCTGAGTGATTCCAGTTAGGATAGAAACCTGCTAGCAACAGTTTGGTACTCAGACAAGTCTCCTCAAACCTTTATTTTGTTCAGAAATAGGAATAAGGATGGTGAGGAGAGGTTAGACTATGCAGAGTAAACCAGAATGTCATTTCAGCACAATCAGATGGATGAAAGTTCATTTTAATATGAACTTGTCCATTCATCTCTCAAATTTAGCCCAGTCACAGGGTTTATTACAAGTGCTGGAAAGGTTTTTGGCTTGTGATTACGGAATGTGGCCGTATAGAGAGATAGTCCGCTGTAATTTTCTGTGGTATTGCTCTTGACATTATGCAATATAACAGTTGTTTCATTAAGGTCAATTAGTCATTAAAAAAACATCAATTTTGTGTCATTTAATTACAAACAAAAGCAGCCACTCAAACAAACTGCTACACTCTATAGGACGTGTTGGTGTGGCTTCTGTTGTTTTACTTCACCATAAAAGAAGAAATTGTTTGTTGCCAGAGAGAAAACAAAAGGAGGAGGCAATTCTTTGATTGAAATATGATTATGATAGTGTGCAGTGCTCAACATGGTGGCTGTATTATGGGATGCATAGTGGATAACACCACTGCCCGCCATGCAGCAGACCAAGTTTTGATTCTACCTGGGCAAGCACACAATGAATGTGTTTACATGCACTTAATAATCTGATAACTGCAAAAAATCAGATTTTGTCAGTAATCCGATCAACACATTTATAAACACTTAAGTAATCAGATAATGTGAAAACTCCGGGTCTACATGAGTCAGGCAGTAATCAGATTTCTGCTTTGCAACCAGCCAATAAATTCACAGAAGAAGACGTGACAAACATGACGTAAACTCAAATTTCATGCCATGTTTTTTTTAAAAACATTGCGCCACTTTACCTGAAAATATGAACATAAATCATCTAGAAAATAAAGAATATATAAATCCCTCCTTTCGTCAAGCATGTAGTTGGTTTTGTTGTCACTCCAAAAATGTTTTGCCACCATCTCGCGGCAAGCTGCTTGTTTATTTCTGGTACCGCCATCTGAAATCTGAAAGAAATCAGAGTAAGAGTGTATGTGCACTGAGAAATCTGATTATTGAGCTAAAATTTAGCTCTCTTTAATTTCTTAATTGGATTTCTAGAGTATGGTGTTTACATGACTGTTTGAATAATCAGATAAATGCAGAAATCTTATGATTGGATTACAATAACAGTTCTTAGGCAAGATTCTTATGCAGCATTCACCTACCTCTGTAGCATGATTAAAATTTGTCACTCTGGTTAAGAGCATCTGACAAATGCCATTAATGTGAGTAAATCGTTATGTAATAGTATGTAATAGTTATGTAATAGTAATGTGAGTTCTATAAAAAGAGCCAGTTGCCTTGTTGGTAAAGGTGTATGTTGGGAAAAACTCCTTTGTTGTGGAGACATTCATACATAATGGCCTAAACAGCCTGAAAATAACTTTTTTCTTTTGTTATTTGAGCCAAAGACCCCAAATTACTTCTGTGATTTTTGCCATTTTTTACTAGTGATTTCAAATATATTTCTGAAACATTCAGTTTCAGATTTATCCATTTATCTAGGTCTTTTTCCAATCGGGTTGATTGGAGCTTGGTCTTGTATGACTTAAAACATCTGCTTGCTAAGATTGCCGCTAAATGTACAGACTTTTCTTTAAGGACTTTGTTGTTTCACAGACAGAACTTTAAATGATGGCACCACTGTGACAGGGCAAAGAGTGGCTTAATCAATTAGTTAATTACTCCAATAACAATTAGTAAAAAAGCATAACATATATCTTCAAATGCAATACAATTTAGCCACAAATTTCATCACAATGGTACCTTTCTGAAAGAAAGAGGTAAAATTCCATGGCATCTTCAGCCTGACCGCAGCATGACCACAGGGTCACGTCAGAGCAGAATGGCTTTGGCAGGTTCCCCGTGATGCCAGTCAGCTTCCGTTCCGCTGCAGGACATGAGCCGACATCTTTCAGAGCGCGCTAATTACCTAGCATCGCTACTGCGTCGGCTAGCTGACAGTTAGCTGAGAGGAACCGACATTGCATAACAGAGGAGAAGCTGATGTTACAACACCTCCATCCCTTTCAACCCTCTGCTCTCAGACCTGGTCAGGGCCTGCAGTAAAAAGAGTGTTCTCGCAGCTCTGTGGAGACAGATTGTTCACCAACCTGATGAGAAGAGAAAAGAGTGAGAGTGTGTGATTGAGCTTTGCTGAAGCTAGCAAGGACAAACCAGACCCCATCCCAGGCATCTTTCAAAACCACTTTAAAGTGACCTTTGTGGACATATGGAAACATTATACAGCATGAGTATTAATATAATATCATATAATAATGTGATTATAGTATAATTGTTAGTTATTATATACTTTTTTACCTCATAGTTGCAAAGTAATATGATTGTATCATATTGTACTGTATTGTATTGTATTAGTTTAGCTCTTAGCTTGTTTAGCTTCTAACTGG